GGTTCTAATGGTCAACTGGCTAACTTTTACGGTGGTTATGAACCACAAGGCTCTTCAGCTCCACTTCCACCTGTGCCGCCAGTCACCGCCACACCTGCCGCCCAGTCAAACCCTTCAAGTTCCTATCAACAGCCACAGCCACAGCCAACCCTGAATTCTTCAACTGGTGCTCTTGCTTTAGTTCCTCAACAACCAGCAAAATTTGAAACAAAATCCACTGTTTGGGCTGATACATTAAACCGAGGCCTTGTTAATCTCAATATAGCCGGATGTAAGTTTTATAAAATTTTATTTAAAAAAAAAATATATTATTAAATATAATATTAATAAATCTTTTTTGTATTTTTTGCAGCTAAAACAAACCCATTGTCTGATATTGGAGTTGACTTTGAAGCTTTAAATAGAAAGGAAAGGAGAATGGAGAAAACCAACACAACACCAATGGCTACTTCAAATGTAGCCATGGGTAAGGCCATGGGCTCCGGTTCGGGTATCGGGCGGGCTGGTATGGGTGCACCAAGACCCCAACCCAACCCCATGATGGGTCCAGGTCTCACCATGGGTGGGTACCCGAACCCACCCATGGGTCAGTTCCAGATGCAACCTCCAACCGCTGGATATCCATCTGGAACTTACAACCCAATGATGGGTTTGGGTCGTGGTGGTGGTGGTTATGGGCAACCACCGCCATATGGTGGTGGCTATAGGTAAAGTTCCGGTGAAGTTTAAGGTAAGAAGTGAGAGTGAGAACCTTCCGGAATCTATGACGCCCAAAACACGTGAAAAAAGAAATTATTTGGGCCCGAAAGTTTTATTTGGGATGTGTAAAGATGGAAATGTTTTTTTTTTTTTTTTTTTTTTGTTAATGTATGATTGATTATATGATGTAATATTGATTGATGGGGTTGATATTGTTAGGTGTTGTGAAATGTGAAGGGTGTATACCAATACCATTGAGGGGATAAACATATGAACAAATTTTGTGTTTTATTATTTGTTGAAGTTGAATCATGTATTGCCAATAAATACAAGGGAGGGAGGAGGACTTGCATTATTTGCTATAAAATGACATTTTTTTCTTTAATACAGCAATTTTGGAAGAAACCAAAATTACAAATACTTGGAGTTCTTTCTAGGTTTTGCAAAACTAAAAGTCCAAAAGTAGATTTCCGAGCCCATTTATAGTTTTCTTTAACCGACAAAAGTGTATATTTCTTTTTCTTAAAAGTGATGGCTTGATTATTTTGGACGTTAGTAAATGCATGGTCCAAACATCTGCCACAAATGCATAAAACAGTTGAAGAAAATATCAATATCCAAAGAAAGTAGACGCTATAAGTTGCAACAACCAAGGTTGTTAAGACCGGGATCCTACGTAGGATCGTTTTTGGGTTTGCAAGATCGGGATCGAGATCCTAAGATCCCACAAAATAAATCATAATTTTAATTTTTAATTTTAAAATATGAAAAATATTTCAAACATTCGATTTTTCATTCAAAAGTTATAAAACTTCCAAATATTAGTTATAAGTCACAACACAAAATGATCAACGGTAAATTGGTAAAGGGTAAAAGACATAAAATGGTAAAATAAAATTTCATTTGGAAAAAAAAAATCAAGGGAAGGTAGGATCGGATCGGATCTCGATCCTACGATCCTACCTCAAATACGATCCGTTTACGATCCGACTCGTTTTTTCATACCTAGGATCGTACGATCCTACGATCAGGATCGAGATTTTGACAACCATAACAACAAGTATATAAGTATTAAACTACTTAGTAATACAATTGAGTTTATATCCTAAGAAAGTAGACGCTATAAGTTGCAACAAGTATATAAGTATTAAACTACTTAGTAATACAACTGAGTTTTGGGAGAGACTGTCGGAGACTAGGATAAGACCGGATTGATTTTGTATTTTTCTCAAGATCAGAAGATTACAATAGAGGCCTTATATATAAGACTAGATATTACACTTTAGTACCATCTAGAATAACATAAATAAAATACTCTTAAATAAATATTGTCCATTATCCCCTCACAAGTTGAGGGCGGGGAACGACCTGCAACTTGGATCTTAGCATCGAAAATCTTTGAGATGGAAGCGGTTTCGTAAACACGTTGGCGATTTGATCATGTGTGGAAATAAATTGAACTCGCAAATTTCCTTGAGCAACATTTTCTCGTACAAAATGGTAGTCCACTGCTACGTGTTTCGTTTGTACATGAAACATGGGATTGGCGAAAAGATACGCGTCTCTTAAGTTATCACACCAAAGCAAGGGAGAGACTTTAGAGGTAATACCAAGCTCGTTTAGGATAGCTTCTAGCCATGTTATCTCAGCAACCGTGTCGACAAGGACTTATACTCAGATTCGGTGGAAGATCTAGAAACCGTACGTTGTTTGCGAGCATTCCATGAAATTAGGTTTGAACCCAAGTAGATGGCAAACCCCCCCTGTGTGGACTGACGGTCATCCGGACAACCAGCCCAATCAACATCAGAGTATGCTTTCAAGGTAGCGCGCCAATCAACATCGGTGAAAGCCTGAAGTGTAGAAGTAGACCCATGACAGATAAAGAGGCCAAAATGCGATGTTCCCTTGAGATTACGAAGTATTCGTTTAACAACAGACCAATGGTTTTTTGTTGGAGTTTGCATGAATTGGCAAACTTTGTTGACAGCAAAAGTAATATCTGGTCTCGAGAGAGTTACATACTGTAGAGCAGCAACTGTTTGGTGGTATATGGAGCATGCAAAGGCATAAAGTTGCCAACTTTATGCCTTAAGACGTCTTAATGGACTTATATCTGAAGTTTGATGTTGAAATCCCGAGTATTAAGCACTTAATGGAAAAGTAGCTTAACAGAGGAGTACGCTGGGCGTACACGCATGTACACGCAGCGTACACCACCTTCAGCCAGTACGCTTAGCGTACATATGAGTACGCCCCGCGTACTCATCAATTATGGGTTTGTGATGTTTTGGGCCCCGGGTTGGGCCAAGCAGTGGACTTTAGGTCTTTGGGCCTTAGTGGGCCATCAGGAGTCAGATGTTTTGGGCCAGAAATGTGCTTGGGCTTAGGGTAAGGCCCATTAGAGGGATTGAGCCCAAATTGAGCAAATTGGGCCATTAGCGGACCACTAGTGGGCTTGGAAAGCCTACCTAGTGTTGGGTTTTGTTTCGAGATTTGGGCCTTAGCTTTGGATCATACTGGGCCAGGGGTAAAATGGCCATTTTACCCCATGCATGGACTAAGAATTATGGTATGGGACCCAGTTGCTAATTGGGTATAATGATCGGTATTGATGGTTCAGGAAGTGGGCGGGGCAGCAGCTAAGGATTTCTTCAGGAAGCTTCTGCATTCGAGGTGAGTCTTCTCACCATACCAATGGGTCTAAGGCACCAAGGTCGGCCCATCTTATGATAGTTGGTATACTTGCTGTGTAGAGGTGTGTGGCATTGCTATGCATTGATATGTGGTAGAGATAGTCTTTAGGGCTAGCGGTAGAGATAACTTTCAGGGCTAGCGGTAGAGATAGCCTTCAGGGCTAAAGGTAGAGATAACCAGTATTGCTAAGGGTAGAGATAGCCTTTGTGACTAATGGTAGAGATAGCTTTATAGCTAATTGATATGCATTATGTGGTAAAGATAGCTTTATAGCTAATTGATATGCATTATGTGGTAGAGGTAGCTTTATAGCTAATTGATATGTGTACGAGGTAGAGGTAGCTTTTATAGCTAGCATGTTATGTGGTTTGTGTGTGGGGTATGCTCTGGGGAACTCACTAAGCTTCGTACTTACCAGTTTGTTTATTGTTTCAGGTACTTCAGATCCCAAGGGCAAGGGCAAGGTGTGATGGCGCGACGTGCACCCTCTCACTGACATTTTATGAGACACTCAGATGTTTGGAATAAAAGTTGTACTTGACTTATGTTTTGAAAACAATTATAACTAGATTTCTTAATGTATGGGAATATGTTTGCTTATTCTAAAATGAAAAATTTACTTTGAAAATTGGGTCGTTACAAACTCTACCCCATTTCCATCTCTATTTTTGGAGATATGTATAGTATTCCCCCATATTTGGGGTTATACTATTCACATCTACAAAAATGGAGTTGAAGTTTTCGGTTGCCAATTTTAGTCCCTCTCATTTTTATTTTATACATTTTAGTTTATTTTTGTCTACTAATTATGATTTAAATGTAATATTTAATATTTGTAATATCATGTTATATACTAATTTATATTAATTAATCATAAATATAAAGTTTAATATTTATTTATCGAATTCATATAAAAAAATTAAATATATACTAAAGACTTGAAATACGGTAATATAATTTATAAAATATAGCAATCAAATATGATCGTGATCTTGATATATTTATTATAAATATAATCTTATCTATTTAATAATTATTTATAATAAAGTAATAATTAATTTAAATTTATTATATATAAATTTTTTATTTATGATAATATTTTTGTAATGAAAAAATATAATATATAATATTTGTTAAAATCTAATTAGTAGAGGGGTGTATTTGACAATATATATAAGTTATAAAAATGAAATATTCTAGGAATGTACTTTTTGGGTTACAAAATGTGATAGAAAATAGAGTAGAGTTGGAGATGAAACAGTATTTACTTAATTTTTTATTCTAAAAAAAAATAGAGATAAGTTGGAGATGATCTAAAAGATTACAAGCACATAAAATGTAAATATCTTTACATTTAAAGACTAATTGGTATTTATCAAATTTTAACAAACTTTAATTTTATTATTAATAAAACATAAATTAAATTAGTAATGTATTATCACTTTTATAAAACAAGTTTTTTAGTATTATAATACTGAAATAAAATTTTAATCCGACGTCCCTTTGGATTTTAGTTTAAAAAACTACATAAGTTTATCGCATAAAAAAAAAGCAAAACAAAACAAAACTTTATCCGAAATGATAGACATTAATATAGAACCAATTTATGAACTTGTCAATTTCATCCAAATAATCGGACACTCACTGTTCAGATGGAGTTGTACGTTGTGCATCCTGACTTGTACACTCTCACATAAATGGGCTTTTTGCTCTAACTGGGTTGGAAGAAGTCTGTGCACAGGCGCCAGGTTTGTCGATTGCTGGACAAAGACCTTTCCATTTGTGTATTTCCGCAGTCTTTCAATACCAACAAAACAAAAACAAACTCAAATCCAAATCTCTCTTCGCAATATCTGCAGAATATCAGCTGCTTTCTGTTATGAAATCCGCTGCCACTTTCGACTTTTAGCGATTCCCGTCTCTTTCAACAGATGGTGATTGCAGCACCTCGGTTTATTTCCATCGGTAACCCCAAAAATACAAATCCCGTCTCTTTCAATACATGTAAATTTTACTGTGTAATCATTCGTATTCGTATGCTTTACTTACTAAAAACTTGAGGTCATTGTTTGAGGGCAGTTTGTATAACGAGTTAGTTTCATGGATACATATTAGACCAATTCGATCGTATAAGGAATTCGTATGAACCCCGAAAGAAATTGTTTAATTAGTCAAATCTCGGGCTTAGTATCACATACGAAATCAAAGTTTATGTTTCTATGAAAACCTTCAACTGATTGTTTGGTCAAATTCTTTGATTTTTGCAATCAGGAACGATAATCTGTTTGAGCCCTATTTCCAAGTTTTGTAAAGATCAGCCTAGAAATGTTGCTGTTCTTCCTGTTCTTCAGATTATATTGATTTTGTAGGGTTTTTTTTGGTTGATTTTAGGTTCTTCATGTGGTGTTTGTCATTCTGAAGGCATTGGTTGCTCTACATCATATGGAGTCACTAGCAATTGGATTCGTTCTCCTGAGATTCCAAGAACTTGTGATAATTTAGAATCAAGGTTTATATATAAACATCTTTTGGCAACCCAAAAACTGAAAATTTGTTAAAATGGTTGATATGAATAGTTATCTAAATTGGGTGTATGTCTATTTATCCAGATTCAGATGCAAAAATCAGTTTCTTGGAGATGTTGGATTAAATTGGAGGCGAATTGGTCGAAAAAATTGCATGTCCAAAGTTTCAGTTGCTGCAGATTATCCTGATTCAGTCCCTGAATCATCATCATCATCAAGTTATGTTGCAAAAAATGGATATCATCCACTTGAAGAAATCAAAAATTGCAAAAGAGTTCGTGAAACTAAGCTTACAAGTGCAGAAATTGCAAAGACAACAATCGAGGTTCTTAAACTTAAACACATATTACTTATTGATGCATAAATCTTTCAAGTTTTGATTAATTGATGATGAAAAAAATTATGGTCTACTTTGGTTGTTTTAGGGTAATAGTAGTGGATTGTTGATATTCCCTGGAACAATACACTCTGAACCACATGAGCATATCTCATGGGTGGAATATCCATATGTGATTGATGATGGTGGAGGTTTGACATTCAAATCTTTATTTCATATACATTAAAAAAGTTCAAAGCTTTATTCAATATATGTCAAAAACTTTAATGATTTAGTTGAAATATATGAAAAAGTTTAAAGCTTTATTCAGTATACAAATCTACAATAAAAAATTGAAGCTTTATTTGTTATACAAACAAAAAGTTCAAATCTTTATTTGTTATCCATCAAAATTTTCATAACTTTAACTTAGCTTTTTATTCGATATACATCCAAAACTTTAAAGATTTCTTTGTTGTATGTCAAAAAGTTCAAAGCTTTATTCAGTATACATCAAAATCCATAAAAGGTCTATTTGTTATGCATCAAAAAGTTCAAAGCTTTATTTGTTATGCATCAAAAAGGTGAAAAGCTTTATTCAATATATACACAAAACTTTTAAAGATTTATATATTATATTCCAAAAAGTTCAAATCTTTATTACATATACAAAATAAAAAGCTTCAAATCTTTATTCATCATACATCAAGAAGTTCAAAGCTTTATTCAATACACACTAAGTAGTGGTAACAAGTTATTTTTTCTGCATATTTCTTAAATATAAATGATAAATCCTTGTTTTTAATGTCCTGTATTTTCTTCAGATATATACTTCAAGGTTCCAGATGATGCAAACATTATGCAAGATCCTGAAGCAAGAAACCCTGTGGTAAGAACTTTCTAGATTCTAACTCTTAAGTACCAATTTCACCTTAATCATCTTAGCTTACAATTTTATCACATTTTGATTAATACTTAAGGTGATATTTTTATTTATTTATTTTCAGAATGTTTTGATTGGAATGGATCTTCTAGTTTTTGAGAATCAACTGTTATCTATCCCTGAAAGTCATATTTCTGATACCTCTCTTGATGACATTCTTTTCTTTGAAGACTATTATGAGGTATTATCCTACTTTCTATTTTATTATCTTTATATAAAAGTACATTACTACATTGTCTTTGTTTATTATTAATTATTATTATTATTATTATTATTAGGATGAGGTTCCAGATATGTTGGGTGGCTTTACAGAATGGGGTATACCAATTGATTCTGCTGGGGTCCACCCGATTTATTTTGCCAAGTGTTTGACAAAGGTGATACAATTACAATCAAATATCAATAGTAGAGCTAATATTTATCATTTAATCTTTTTGTTCTTGGAAGCTTTTTGTAAAATTTGGGTGCCTTTTAGGCTTCTAACATGGAATATTCTAGAAGGATGGATCATCCTTCAAATGGGGTTTCTGTTTTGGGATGCTTAAGTCCTGCTTTTGTTGATGAAGAGTTGTATTTAAGAAGACTCTTTCGTGTTGAAGAAAGGGATACATATGATGAGAATTGGGAAGGTAAAAAAAGTAAAAAACAATGGAGCTTTAAACATATAACTTATGAGTTATCAACTTATCATATAATTATGTGTTATTTTATGTGCAGATGAAGATGTAAACTGGAGTGCATCACTTTTTTACAGATTGGAGATTATGAAAATCGAGTTGTTCTCTGTGTATGGTGTTCAGGTATGCATATAAATCTTGCTTTACTAACATTTAAAAAAAAAAGTCGATACATATTAAATTTTATGGAACTTTTTTTTATATATTTTTACAGTCGGTAATAAATTTGAAAGATTTTAAAGATGCTGAGGCTGATATTCTTGTACACTCGATTCATGAGATTGTTGAAAACTTGAATGAGAAGACAATGAACTCTAATCTTGCACTTAGAGCTTTATGTAAAAAGAATGGATTTCATGTTGAGGTAATACCTTTTTTTCTTGGATTTTTTGGTCGATTATTAATTTTTATTTTTAAATATATTTCTGGTTTTGTTTATTTTATAGGAAGCAAATATAATTGGTGTTGATAGTCTTGGCATGGATGTTAGAGTTTGCATTGGCCATGAAGTGAGAACCCATCGTTTCCCCTTCAAAATTCGGGTAATAATTGATATAATAAGTAGGACCTCTAGCTAAAATAAGCCGGCTTTTGGCTAACATGAGCCGGATCTTAGAAGATTCATGTGATTAGGTGCTTGTGGGTCCCTCCTTATGTCTCTCTAAATATAGTAAATGGTATGGGACCCACGGTGGTTCTTTTTCTTTTTACGCCATAAAAATAGTGCCCATGGCTAAAATAAGCCGGATCTTAGCTAAAATGAGCCGGATCTTGGAAGATTGATTGGATTAGATGCTTTAAGTGAATGTGACCCATGATTGTTCTTTTAATTTTGCATCATATAAATATATGACCTATGGCTAAAATGAGCCGGATTATGCTAAAATGAGCTGGATCATGGAAGATTTAATAGGTTCGTTTCTATTTATTTATTTACAGGTGACATCAGAAACGGGTGCAGAAAAACAGATCCAACAGCTTTTGTTTCCAAGAGCAAGGCGCAAGAGGCTAACAAGGAAACAAATGGATTGAAAGTTGTAAGAAAGTCCAAGAATAAAGACATCCTAGGGTTCATGATAGATTTAGGATTAGATTGAAAATAAAGAAATGAATATTGAAAAATGTTGTTCAACACTTGATTTGTGATGCTAAGTTTCTTTAATAAGCAAGTAGTCATAGTTTAGTATAATAGACTGATGGTTGTATGCTGCCTATGTTGTTTCAAGAGAAAGGAAAGCAAAATCATATTTGATTAAAGAAAATGTTGTTCTTTAATTGTTAAGAGACCAAATCCTTCATAAAAGTTCTCCCAAATTGCTCATAAAATCTCATCCCCCATATCATGTGTGTGAAAGTATTTGGGAGGAGAATACATTTGAAGAAAATGGTTCATAATTCAATATAAACTAAGTTAATTTATTAGTGGGGTCTATTTTTGAAAGGATGTAATATTGCGCGATGCTTGGGTACTTGCAGATGCTTGGGTACTTGCAAATGCTGATGTGATACAATTAAAATATGAGTGACATTGTATTGGTTTGGATGACCTAAGTATATATCTATCTTATATATTTATTTTAAACTTCATATTTTAGTTTTATAAATGATGAGATCTAAAATATATTCTTACTGTTTTATCTAACATAACGAAAATATATTATTTAAAATAAGGAATGTTAAAGTATGTTATCGTTCTAAATAAAAAAGAGATTAAATAAACAGAGATAAAACTGAAATATGTTGTTATTCTATTATGATAAGCTTAAATTTTGTCATCCAAAATTAGAGATAATAACGAAAAAAACCACTATATTTTGATATTTTTCCGATTTAACCATTTGATTTTAATTTGTTATGAAAGAAACCACTCATATTGGATAAACGTTATATTGCAACCACTATGATATGCAAATGCAGGTCAAACATGTAATGTCTCTTCTTTTTGTTCTAACAAAAACCACACATATATATATATATATATATATATATATATATATATATATATATATATATATATATATATATATATATATATATATATATAATATCGAAAAAAACCACTATATTTATGAAAAAATAAGGGTCGCGGTAGAATTTTTTTAAGATATGGATGATTTTTGTAGAATAAAAAATAGACATTACCTCTTTGACATGTATTTGCAGGTAATAGTGGTTGCCATAGAATTTTTATAAAAAATGAATGATTTTTTAGAACAATTTAAATTGGATGGTTCAACCGGAAAAATATCAAAATATAGTAGTTTTTCGTTATTATCCCTCTAAAATTATTTGTTTGTTTTGAATTCACTGTCAAATGAACTTTTTTATTACACTTGGGACCCAAAATTATACATCAACACAGAAACTTTCTATTAACTTGAAACCATATTAAAGGTTGTGTAACCTCAAAATTAAAACTTATAAGTACAAACCTAACTTTTTTTTTCGAAAAAAATAAAACTTGAACTTTTTATTTACTTTTATATCGTAAAATTATAAATGCCCAAAAAATAGTTGATTTTTGGACGAACGTAAGATAATTTACAAAAAAAAAAAAATTTTTTTCAATGAATAAACACCTATATTTCATCATCGTAATACCTTATTATTGGTTTTGTACATCGAGGATTTACCAAAAAAAAAAAGTTTATAAACAATTGTGCAAACCTTACAAAACGCAAAATATCAACAAATTCCAGTCTCATGAACAATTTAAGAACATTTCATATTAATTCTCTTGTTAGATTTTAAATATGTGATAAGCTGAACCAAATTAAACTTAGTTCATATAATTACTTTGTTTATTTCATTCTTATATAGTTGAAATTTTATTCCATCTTATCAAACCTACCCCTAGTTTACACTCCTACCCTAAAACTCCACAAACCATAAGGTGAAATGCTAATAAAAAGAATAGCTTTTAACCAAAAAGCCAAATACTTATGGAGAGTTTACAAGACAAAAGATCAAAACATCAATTAAGCTTTCCTTAAATTCATTTATAAAGTTATACTATTAGTATTGCTAATCATCAAAATGCATTTTTCTTTTTTTGTAAGAATAAACTCCAAGATCAAATCTTCTTGATCTGTGTGTTGCTTCCCGTTTTTCTTTCACTTGTGGAAGCAGACTCATGCTTGTTACTGTTACTGTTACTGCTACTGTTACTACTACTGCTACCAATTGCTACATATGATTTATTTGAACTCACACCTCCAACTTCTTCATCTAAATATCTACTTCTTTCTTCCACTTCATCCACAACTTCTCCATGGTTTTCTTTATCAAACCCTGAATAAACAACCAGCCCAACAGCAACAGCAGCAAACGCCACAAAATACATCCAATCCACCTAAGTCAAAGTCAACAATATCTCCAAATTAGAACTTAAAATATTCTAAAATCGATATTTTTATTTTTTACAAACCTTTTCATGGTATGCAAAGATACGAATCAAAACTGACCACATGTCGGATGTCAATAAAGACAGATTTAGCATTGTCGATCCACTCATCTGAAATTATTAAATTATCAACAAACATATGATAATGGGCAAAAAGGTAATTTTGTATACCTTCAGCAAAACAGGGACTCCCGAGTAAAATAGAAACATTGCTGCTGCAAATCCCGTGTAAGGAAGCAACTAAAAGTCAGTCAAACAAACAACATGTCATTCAAGATATGGAGGGCATTTTCGTCTTTTTCAGAGAGAGAAAAAGAGAGAGAGAGATTACAGCTCCTGAAGACCAATGGATGGATTTGAGTTCCACTCGTTCAAGTATGCTTCTATTGACATTGTTAAAGACAACAAAAGCAAAAGGGCAAAATGTTTTTAATTTCTTTATATTTATAGTATTTGGGAATATTGCTATAATTTGGTATTATATTTTGCAAATTATAAAGCCCTAATTGAACACAAAATGAAAGAAGGATACATTTGAATACCACTAATAATAGCACCAAATAACCCCAACATAGCCATGAGTTCAATTCTATCAGCAGTTTTCACAAAGAACTCCTGCATAACTCCAAAGTGATCCATTAAGCAAAATGACAAAATTGCCCTTTGACCAAAAAGGTTAAAAGACAAGAAGATTACCTCGCTAACATTGCTGACAGCATAAAGGGTAGCCCCTGCAACCACTAGTAAGTCGCCCTTTATAGGGCTACTTCCGCTTTCTAAAATTATACAAAAATACAAATTAAAAAAACAACAATTGATTATATAAATGTATTATTTGGTAATTTCAATATACTTACGTGATCGATCTGCTGCATGAACATCTGAAAAGATAACAAGAACAAGACCCGCAATACAAATGGAAACACCTGCAATTTTCTTGAATCTGTATTTTGTCTTTAGGAAAAGCCACGTCAGCAAGATCACAGAAGGGATTGACCAACAATCGAGTAACATTATACTTGTTATAGATGTGTATTGATACGCCTTCACCACTGTTTATAATAAAAAAAGTCAACACCTTTTTTTGTTCTTTTTCTGTATTAAGTAAATAAGAAACATTCGTAATCATATATTATAGCTTACCTAGATAATTTGCCTCTACATCTACAAGTCCAAGAAGTAAATAGTAATACCATTTAGCCTACAAAAGGGCGATAAAAAGAATTATTACAACATATTTTGAAACAAATATGAAGTGAGAAGAAAATATAGATTGAAGATAAAAAAAACCTTAAGCCCACTTTTCCTGTATATTAGTATTCCTCCATAAACGATTGCCAACATCACATAGTTGGCTAAAGATTGTGAAGTAGGTGCGTTGATTCCTAAGTTACAAAAAAAATAGTAAAATTAGAAAATATATGAACTTTTACATGACAATATAGAGAAAATAACATCAGATTTGGCAAAAAATGTGTGATTTTGGATAGAAAGTGGCAAGTATGATGTTCTTTTCTCCACAAAAGGCTGTTCTTGCTAATTAGATAGTGTATTTTTGGCATTTTTCACAATTGGGATGCTTAATTTTCAATAAGAAGAAACTTATGGTGCTTGAATACTCAAAAAGAGTAAAGAATAAAGCAAAGTGAATTACAACTTACAGCATCAAATACCATGACTTTTAGCATATGATAAAATAAAGATAAAAACACTTTCTTGGACTCTTTTAAAACCAATAAAGGGAGTCGAGAATAGAGAACGAAAACCCCCTTTTTGTGTAGAATTAAATATTATTAGCTTTATGGGAGATTAATCTTATAACACTATGTCACTATTACAGGTAGTTTGACTGGTTTCAAGAAGCTCGATTTTGTTTCTATTAATGGAAAATCCCCAAAAACAAATGAAATGCGAAATACAAACCTCTTCTAGCAAGCTCCGACGATGAAAATCCAGTTGAGGTGATAAGAAGAGAGAGAATCTGTCCCAATACAAGACCTATCACTGTCTTCTTCGCTAAAACTTCCTTCAAATTCACCATGATTGAATTAAAAAACTCTTACCCTTTTCCAGAATTTAGGAAAAAGGTTAATCATACACTCGAATCGAGAATACCCAGAAACCTAACAGGACTCTACTTTCGATTCGTTTGGGTACAGAAATCTTTATATGGTAGGAGTGAGTGAAAAAATCGCTCCCAACTTTAGGATTTGAAGTGGGTAGGTTTGGAAAATGAAGAACTCTTGAAGTTATCAAAGAAATCTGATTGCTTTGATACAAAGAAGCAAGTCAAACTCAAATGATTTGATACTTTAATAGTGTATAAGAATAAGAGTGACAGAGTTGGAAACGAAAGAGACATTCTATATAAAGAATCAACGGCTGTAAAGAAGTCCAAAAGCCTTTAGGACAAATGGGGAACATAAAAACGATATTTCATCGTTCTTTTCATCATTTCTTTTCAATTCTTTAAGCAAATGTTGACAAAATAAATATATTATATAAGTTTGCCTTATAACTTATAAAGCCGAACAACAAATATCCCAATTTCCAAACTAAATTGAAAATTTTAGCATTTTAAGTTTAAAATTATAGATGTTAGACTTAGAATCAATGTCCGGATTCAAATGTGACTAACATTATCCAAACACGAATTTCATTAAGACATTATACGGACAATAAATTAAAGATTACTTTAAAAATGAATCAAGTGAACATATTTGTTATAAACAAAACCTAGTAAGAGGGTGTTTGGCATAGCTTTTAGATTGATTTTTTAACACCTTTTAGACACTCTATTATCACTTTTATAAAAAGTCAACCTATAATCAACTACTTATAATCAGCTTTTTCGGAAAACAATGCAATTTCAACCAACAAAAATATTTTAAAAATTAATTAGGGTATTTTAAAATGACTTTTTGCAAAGAGTAAAAGAAAGAGTTTCAAAAAGTCACAAAATCTAACTTTTTGTGACTTTACCTATAAAAGTTAATCAAAAGTCATTTTGTCTAATCCAAACACATTTTAAATAACATCTTTTACAAAAAGTTCTTCCACTAAAAGTCCTTCTACAAAAAGGTGTGTTTAAATAACATCTTTTACAAAAAGTTCTTCCACTAAAAGTCGTTTTACAAAAAGAATTTTTGATACTCAAAAGCAATCCCAAACACCCCTAGATATTGTTCAACATATTTAATCAATTTATATATTACATATTATATAGTGACAAATATGTCATGTTATCATATAATATAGGTTACATAACATATACAATATATTGTTAGATGAAAAGTCAACAATCAACTAATTAAACAAAAAGAGTTTAATGCAATATGTATTCAAGTAGGAAGGATTTACAAACACGGCAAATATATTTAAGATATTGATTATACCAAGTAACAAATTACAAGATTGATGCATGTAAATACAGTGTTCACATACAAAAAATATATATTATATAGATAATATTAATTCTCAAAAAATTATATATTATTAAATTAGAGGATACATGTTTTTGTATCCAAATTTGAAATATTAATCGTAGGAATAAATATATTTTGAAAATAATATATATTATATAGATAATATTAATTCTCAAAAAATTAAATATTATTAAATTCAAAATATATTAATTACCGGATTTTTATGTTACCATTCACAAGCCTATCTACTCCACATAAATTTGAATGTTATAAGTAATATTTTTTTTAATTACTTGGGAAACTTATGTTTTTTAACTTGTATTCAAGATGATCAATAATATATCTTATGTTTGCAGCAAGTCCCTTATTTTTAATGCAAAATCCCATCAAACTGTATATTTAGTTATTTTCTAATTATGGTTTTTATTTTTTATATAAAACCTTTAAAATTATAGCTATAATCATCAAGTTAAAAGAAGCTAGACCTAAATTGATTATTGATGAACACTATGAAAAAATGTTTATTTTTAACGGCACCCTAAAAAAGTGTTTGGTATGTAGATAATAGCAAAAATATGGGTCAAAAAGCATCCACTTTTTGTAAAAGGCACAAATGCAAATGTGTGTGGCGGAGTGAGAGGGGGTTGGTGGCATGAGTTAGGGAAGAACAAAGACTAAGCAAGCATGACCTCATTTTGTGGTGGACACATGAGAGATATTTTAAAACAAAATTTAAGTTTAACACGTAAAATTGGTAGACTCATGAATAAATTTAATTTTAACACTTTCATGGAACATTTATTAGAAATATGTCGGTCGAGGATTCAAGTCCTAATCATAACAAAATATATAGATTTATGAGTAAAATAGTAGATATGTGAATTAGTAGTTAAAATATTATCAACTAGTACTTTTTTTTTTCTAAAAATATGTCTTATGAAATTATATGTTTATCTATTTACAATATTACAAGATACTCGATATTCATATATTAATATTCAAAATCAATTATGTATGTGTATATTTACAATACCGCAGGTGATGGGATGAATATTTCACAGAGCCTGTAAAATGAGAGACATTACTACGAAACGATAAAAAACAGTATTACTTTGAGCATTTTCTAATAGAGTACTCATTTTGTAGGTCCTAAATTTATGGTTAAATTTGAAAATTCCTTAGATTTTGCTTATTTTTTAAAAAAAGGTTGAGAAATAGTTATTTTTGTCTTTTTATATATTGTTTTTTATATTTCCAATTAAAGTTGTATTTTTGCATAATTATTGAAACCGATAGAAATCTCACTTTTAACCAAGAAAGGAGTAGTTAAATCTCATTTTCATGATTGAAACACAAGGATTGTAAGCATCCCCGTTTGCCCCAAATGCAAATTCAAAGACAACCCGAGTTGTTTCACCAAAAATCAAGTTATATATATATATATATATATATATATATATATATATATATATATATATATATATATATATATATTAAAGGGTTATTGCCATAAAATTCCTTATGTTTATATGAAATATGTGGTTATGTCCTAAGTTCAAATTTGTGTTCATTAATACCTCACATTTGAGTAAGTTTTGTCATTTAGAGCTTATTATCAAGTTGTGAATAAGTAGCCGGTCACATGAAGGTTTTTATATAAATATGAGGGCTTTTATGAAATTATGTCCATTTCCTTCTTAACACAATCGCCACCATCGCCATCTCTATCTCCAGCACCACCATCACCACCAACATCGTCAACCGCCGTCTACGACACCATCTTCGACGCTCACCATCCCTTCCCATATTCAACACCATTTTCAACACCCTCTACGCCTTCGCCACCATCCCCTCGGACGAAACCCTAGCCACCTCCATGGGACGATTCAAACGACAATTCCATCGGACGATTTCGACTATTCTGACAACGATGGAGCTCTGAATAAGATGAAGTGCGTGTCGATTTCATGATTGTGTGTATCGGTATTATGGTTTATGTGTGTGTATTGATTTTTTGCAAATATGTGTGTCATGTCAATTTCTAGTGGTGGTCAGTGGTGATGGTTTGTGTGTGTTTGTATCGAGTTCCCGGTGGTGGCGGACAATGGTGGCGGCGACGGTGGTGGTGGTGGTGGCAAAGGTTGGTGATAGATAATAGACGATGTTGCTCGTGGCATAGGGCGGTGGTGATGGCAGAGTGTGATGGTGGTGGCAGAGGCTGGTGGTAGTAGACAATGGTGGTCATACACACATTTCATGTAAATATGAGGGTTGGCTTTGTGACCGGCTAAGGGCTAAGAGGGTGCAAAACCTGCTAAAACGTCAAAAAAAAAAAGAAGACACAAATGCTAGGCATCAATAACATAAAAACTAATTTAGGATATAACCATACATTATATATATATATATATATATATATATATATATATATATATATATATATATATATAACGATAAGCCTATCGAAATTTCATATCAAAATTCAGAAAGTATGATTTACTTTTGTCATGAAATGTCTTGTATAAATAAATAAATAAAAATGAGCATTTTTCAATGCAAAATACCTGGTTGCAGAATCAAACTAGCAGTGGTTTAGGTTGGCATAGCCCTTCTTTTTCAACTTTAAATTCACCTTTTTATGGTGTCAATATACTACTTTTTTTTGCATAAGATCCAAATAACCAAAACTAGTAACTATTTTTAGTGCTCTTTCTTGAATATTGAAGGTACAAAATATACCACCACATAAATTCCACCATAGAAGTAACTGTAACAAAATTTCATTAACAATTTGGCATAAATTGATTCTAATTTTGATTTTCTATTGTTTTCATTACAAAAACCGGTTATTAAAATATAAAGATGCCGAATTAGACCCAACTTTATTCAATTGGCTTGATTTTCAAATAATAATAATAAACTTTAAAACACAAATCCAAATAAGGGGTTGTTTGGCAGAATATCAACTTTTAAAATCTAAATTTTTAAGAGATAAGAAAAGGCAATGAGAAAGATAAAGGAGACAATGGTGTGAAATAAAAAGAGAAGGAAAATGGTTTATTGAAAAATTATGGTATTTCTAGAACACGTTCTTTTTTTATTCTTGTATAACTCATTTTATAATTTGGAGCTGCTGAACAATTAAGAGGCTATCAAATCAATAATTGAAAAATTAAGAGGCTACCAAACAGCCCTTAAATGCATTGAATTAGATCATTTTCAAGGAAAAAAAAAACAGAATCATTTAACAACTTTCTATGCATTTTTTTAGAAAGTTTAGACAACACCAGTGGCATCAATACACAACAGAACTGAACAAATCCAAAATTCTCAAATTTATGTCACAATTATTAAAAAAAATAATAATAAAATCCTCCAATGAAAGCCCTAATTTTACTACAAGAAAACATTACACACCCCCAATTATATAAAATTGTACTTTCATTTTGATTGCATTTTCAACCCTAACATCTTGTTAAGAGCTCCAACATACGCTCTCACACTTGAAATCACAATATCCATGGATGCCCCTGTTCCACTATCAAAAAAAAAAAAAAACAATTATATAACTTTTTTTTTTAATTTTAAAAAAGAGATATAATATATCATATATATATACCTATATGATCTTGCATTCTTTCCTCCAGTTAAATGAGTTGTTGTCTGATTGTTTTCTTCATTAATTACAACACGTGTGCTTGCAATTGCATCAATTCCTGCTGTAACTGCTGACATTGAGTACTCCAATAGTTTCACAGGCGCCTGTAAATAAAACAAAAAAACAAAATCATAATTTAAAATCCAAAATGACCATTTTACCCTTACAAAAAGATTTATGATTTGAACCTTGACAATGAGATCAACTGCTTTATAAGCTGCATCAACAGGTCCTGTTCCAGTTGAGCAAGCAATGTGTTCTTTTCCTTCACTGTCTATTAACTTAACTGTTGCTGTAGATAGACCAAGGGTCCCACATGTAACCTGTCAATTTTATTACTATAAGAATATTTATATATATATATATATATATATATATATATATTTTAATTTTTTAAATAAAAATGAAAATGAAAAATACCTGAACATCTCCAAACTTCCAAACAATTTGGGGCTGGAATACTTCATCTGATACCAATGCTACTAAATCATCATCAGTTATAACCTAAAAACATAATAATTTTATTAGATTTTAGAAATTAAAATAATCTTAGATACCATGAAAAAAAAGGTTTTTAGTACCTTTTTCATTTCAGCTACGGATTTAAATCGCCAAAAAAGATCATTAAGTTCCTTTCCATCAATGTCATAACCAAGCTGAAGAGTGAAATAGAAAAAAGATTTAATGCATAACAATTAAATAATTGGTTGCTTAATTAAAAAAATCAATGAGTTCAAAAGAGAATTTCACCTCAAAAAGTTTAGATTTCAAAGCATGGCGTCCACTGTACAACAATATTTAAAAATCATTATCTTGTATAAAGAATTTTATTTTTTTCAAGGAACCAAAATAACAAAAAAATAAATAACTTGTTATAAGAATATACCTGAGTTTTCCAAGTGTAAGACCAGATTCATTAGATCTGTAAAGTCCAATATCTTCAGGAGACATGATTTCATATGTGTTTCTGTTCTTTAGCATTCCATCCTACAAAGGGTATATTTGGTATTATAAGTTAATTGAAACTTTTACTTTTCACACAAATTTATATGTAAATTGTTGCAACCTGATGGATTCCACTCTCATGAGCAAAAGCATTAGCACCAACAATAGCTTTATGTGGTTGCACCATTAGTCCACTGTATTCTTCCACCTATAGATCAAGATTTATATAATGTTATAATTATAAATTATAAACTTATAATATATTAGAAGGAAAGTATAAATATATAATACCATTTTGCTAGCCATGACAATATGTCTTGTGTTAATGCCAGTATACAAACCACCCAATAACTCTCCTTTGCATTTTAGAGTCATTACAACCTATATTCAATAAAAGAAAAGAAAAGAGAGGAAAAGAGAGAGACCCATTATTTAAATAACTTTTAATTTGTTAAAAAATGGAGACTTGAAGTTGATTGTATATTATTTACAGTTTTACACTCACCTCTTCCAATGAAGCATTACCAGCTCTTTCTCCAATTCCATTGATTGTTACTTCTAATTGTCTTGCACCTGAATAAGCACCCTGGAATCCAAATAGATTAGCATATGAATCAAGGTTTATTTGTATAAGATTAGTAGATTACCTCTAGAGTATTAGCAGTTGAAAGCCCTAAATCATTCTGGCAATGAGTAGAAATGATGACATTCTCGATTCCAGGGGTGTTTGCTTTTATGTCGGCGATGAGTTGCCCAAATTCACGAGGCCAGTTATAGCCCACTGTATCAGGAATGTTGAGAGTAGTTGCTCCTGCTTTAATAACTTCACCCAATATCTCATATAGAAATTCTCTTTCTGATCTGTTCATAGACATAAAACGAATCTATAGTTTCTATCAATAAACCCTAATCATGACAGGTTCAGAAGAATCAGAGAAAGGGAATAATTGGGGCAAAATCCTGATGATTTTGATTCTGATTGTTCCAATACAACAATGAGGGATGAATGATAATGTACCTTCCAGCATCTTCAGGGCTAAATTCAACGTCATTACAGCCCAAACTTCTAGCATATGCGACCATACTTCTGGCTTTTTCAATCACTTGTTCTTTCGACATCTTTAGCTTATACTGCATGTGGATCTCACTCGTTGCAATGAAGGTATGTATCCGAGGGAACTTAGCATGTTTAACAGCCTCCCATGACTTATCAATATCATTCTTATTGCATCTCGCTAAGCCACAAATGACAGGGACATGGCCACCCTCTTCGGCGCCGACATTTCCGACCTCCTTTGCAATTAGCTTAACGGCTTCTAGGTCTGCTTCGGAGGAAGCAGGGAATCCTGCTTCAATAATGTCAACGCCGAGTTTGGCAAGTTGACGAGCAATATCGAGCTTTTCCTTGGTGGTCATGGTAGCGCCGGGGGATTGTTCTCCGTCTCGGAGAGTTGTATCGAAGATGCGGACATAGTTTGGGTCTGAAATGTGGTGGGGGATGTAGTCCGGGCGGCGGGAGCAGAGGATTGCGAATGATTTGTGGGGTTGGGTTATTGAGGGTTTGAAATAGAATAGAGTGCGGATTCGATTGGTGGAGGAGGGGTTGATGGTCGGAGAGAAGAAGCTTGGGATGTGCGAGAGAGACGCCGCCATGGCTATGGTGGAGACAGAGCTCTGTGGGCGTGGGTGAGGGATGAAGTTTTAAAGAGGGTTATTTGAAGTAGTCAACCTCAACCACAACATGACATGCTTCCCATTTCACCAAACATTCATATATGAACAAATTATTTTCATAATAGAAAAATTCCTAATATTATTAAATATTTTATAAAATGGAAATAAATTTATAAACTATGTCCATATGCCATAAAAGAAATTTATTAATCAGTTCATTTCATTTCAGCCAAATATATACCTACCCTATGTGATTGATGATGACTACAATGAATTGATTATTGATGCTACAAATTAAAATGTTAGAGTGTAGCCTTGTTACCTAGAAACTTTTGGACTCCCAAAATGACTTTTTTTTTTTTTTTTTTTTTTTTTTTTTTTTTAAATATAGTGAAGGAATCAAAAACGAAATCAAACACTTGAACTTAAATATGGGGAATATACTTAAATACCACTAAGTTAAATTTTTTAATGATATAACAGGCTAATAATAATTCTTAAAAAAGTACCAAAAATGTATGCATGTAAGAACTTACTAATTTTCATTTTTCTTCTCAAGCTTGATCTTTTTGAACTTTTGTAAATGATGGTCTCTTTAATAGTCTTATAAGTGAAATATAACATCTAACGTTTTGTTTTTATTTTTTTTATTATTAATTTTTTTATTTAAAGCTCTTCTAACCTTTTATACCTACAAACAGACACACATTTTAACTTGAAGATTGTTTGTTTTTTAGAAGACTGTACATGTCAAAACGTATGCACGTCCTCTTTTGCTAGAAAACATGGAACATGCACTATAAACTTTGCAGATGTAAAAACATGTGTTCATTTTCTACAAACCTAGAAAAATATGTCTATTTTTGTTTCTTCTCTTCCTTGCGGCCACTTTCACCCTTCTCTCTTGTTGATCACCTTCACCACTTCACCCTTCATCCTTGCTCCTTTGTTGCTGCCTCGACGGACAACCTTAAGACCGACGACGTTGCTCCGCTGACGCAGTAGTCGATCTCCGAGACGCAGCCCGTCGAACGACACATTTTTGTTTCTTCCTGGTGTCGCTGCTACCTCGTCAAACCACCTCAACAACGACAAGTTTTTTTTTTGTTTCTTTTCGGTTTCATGAAGCTGAAATTAGTTCTATTTACTTCACGATTTTGTTGATTTTTAGTTGAATCTGAAATATTTTGTTGCTGAAATCTGCAATTTTTGTTTATGATGAGTTCTTATATGTGATCTTAAAGTTTACATGAAATTATGTGTCAATAAGCAGAAGAACTTTTAGGAGCTTGGTGAATCCATTTTCGGATAGGTTTATGTGGGTTTGGAGTTTGGCAAAAGGACTTACCTGGTCCTATTTAGATGACGAAGATGATGTTTTGAGTGAACAATATAGCAGATTTGGTTTAAGAGAGTGTTTGGTATTTCGTTTTGAACCTCAAAAGGACTTTTAGTCAAAAGAACTTATTGACTTATGGTGATGAGAAAATGAGTTTTAAAAAAATGTTTAGATTAATTTTTTGTGGTGAGAAAAATCAATAAGTCAATAAGTTGTTTTTTTAACAAAATGTTTTTCTTAGCTTATACATGTTTTAAGGGTATTTGTCATTTACAACCTAAAAGGTTATAAAGAGTTTTGAAAAGTTAGAAATCATATGTAACACCCGTCTCCCAGAATGGATCAGTGTAGGGCGTAAAAGAGTCAAATGCATGGTTTTTGGGAAAAACCATATGTCACGACGTGACCATACAGGGGTCATGTAACGTCCCATTTTCACAACAAAAAAATTTTCATTTTTATTAAGGTAAAACTTCACATTTATAAATCCATTTTAAGAAAACCATATATTCCAAATCACATTTGTCGAAAATTAGAGTAATATAATAAACGAGGAATCCTCAATGCTGATAATGAGTGTGTACAGTCACACCTTCGCCTTCCCACAATCACCGATAGAACTATAAAACATAAACAATTAGGTAAGCACAAAGCTTAGTGAGTTCCCCCAAAATACCGTATAACAGATAATATACAAGCATGCATACTTGGTCCACAATCATCGGACTGGATTACCCCGGGTATGTTGGCATATCGCCTCAACCCAACCGCTCTTCCTGAGTCTCATTGCCTACGGATTACAGCCCGCCCGCACCTTGTCTCTTGGCCTACATCACACAACAGGACCGTCTCAACTTCAACCGCCACAATATGTCGACATATACACAAACAATAGATCAAGTAGGCACATAAATACTGACAACTACCAATCATACAACTCACTACCACCTACTAGACCCTTCATAGCACACTGCTCCGCTACCGACAACTCTCCATTTTATGCATAACCATAAGGAATCAGAGGTGAGATAGCCACCCGAACAGATAATCCTACTCTAGAGCTACAAACAAACAAGGAACATACAAGAAAGCCTAGATCAAGAGTTCCCAAGCTATCCTACGTGGCTACATGCAACCCCTAGGGCATTCCACTAGACGATAACCAACCTACTGGTACTCTAACCAACATATCACTCCTGATGCATCCTAACACACAAGGATATTTATATATATCTAACAGCTCACTACAATACAACAACATCCTATACACAAGGACACATAACCAAATATCCAAGGAATGCATAGCCATATGTATCCATAGGTGAGATAGACACTCGGACAGATGATCCTACTATATAGTCACAACCAAACAAGGAACATGAAAGAAAGAATATATCAAAAGTACTTAGTCTATCCTACATGGCTACATACATCCCCTAGTAGGGATGAGAGTAGGTCCAAAACTGGACCGGTAGAACCGGACTCGAAAAACCCGGGAACCGGTTAACGAGATTTTGTAGGACCGGAAACCGGACCGGTATATTGGAACCAGTTTTGGGTAAGGTATCAGGTAAATTGGGTCTAGAACCGGAAAACCTGGAAACATCAAAGTGAATCGGGTGGAACTGGGTAAAGTGGGTCTAGAACCAGAAAACCCGGGAAAACCGAAATTTTTTGGTAATTATTTAGTGGTTGAACTTTGAAAATTTTCACCTTTGATATCCCGACTTCAGGGGACTGTAAGTCATTGAATATTAAACCAACAATGACAAAATTATAATCTAAAATCATGTACAAAATCTAAACTACATGTTGCAAAAAACTTCATAATAATTCGACTTCAAACAAATTAGATATGCATGTTTTAAAATTTCACAGAATACAAAAAATAAAACTGAAAAACAGAAAATTTGCAGCTTTGATATCCCGACTTTGGGGGGACTGTAAGGCAATGAATATGAAACCAAAAATGACAAAATTATAGTCTAAATTTATGTACAAACTCTAAACTACAGTTTGCTGAAAACCGCATGTTATTTCGACATCAAACGAATTAGATATGCATGTTTTAAAACATTCACAAAATACAAAAAGAAAAAAAAATTGAAAAATATAAAATTTCCAGCATTGATATCCCGAATTTGAGGGACTATAAGTCAATGAATATGAACCCAAAAAATGACAAAATTATAGTGTAAAATCATGTACAAACTATAAACTACACTCTGGAAAAAACCTCATGCCAATCCGACTTCAAACGAATGAGATATGCATGTTTTAAACTTTTCATAGAAACCAGTTCCGTCCCCTAAAACCGATTCCAGTTCCTAACACGGTTCCAGTTCTGAAACCCGGTTTACTTGGACCCGAAGGACCCAAAACCCGGATTACCCGGAACCTGTATAAAGTTATTCCTTAAACTCGGAACCAGAACCAGTTCTATAGATTCCGGTTCTAACGGTTCGGTTTCGGTCCGGTTTTCTGGTTCTAAATCTCATCCCTAGCCCTTAGGGCACCCCCTACTAAATGATAATCAAAACTAGTGGGCTGACATTGGTGTCTTCGACCTACGGGTATAGTGAGGAAAAATCACCTGAAACGAAGAACCTAGAAACACTACGACACACTTCCCTTTCTGCACCGAATGCTCCCACGAACCTACTAGCACCAAAACATGGTAGGATATTAGTCAACAACCCAAATCCTTCACGTTTTACCTTAAGTCAAACTGGTCAAAACGTCAACGGTAAATCTTGGTCAAAGTCAACGCCACGTTGTGGGAACGTAAGGTCAAACAGTCAATCAAGAAGGACATTGCCACGTCGTGTCCCTCCTTGGCGTGGCAATGCCAGGATAAGGCAATCGATATTTTTGACTTCGTCACGTCGTGGCCACTAGCAAAATGCCATTTCTCTCATTAAGAGCTTAATCCTTTCAGATCAAAGCTCATACTTCTAGATCTACTCTTCCACACCGACTTAATGGATAAAGTTTCCAACTTTATCCATTAAGATTCAATTTCAAGGCTAGATCTAGCATTCAAATTCCATTAATTCCTTAATGAGGCTATAAATTGAACATGTGTACAAAATACACCAAGCATGGTCCTTTTTCTCAATTAACAGAATTCCAAGGACCTAGGAAAGCCACCACACGTTTTGGAGTTCTTCAAACTCCAAGAACATCCAAGAAAGGGACAAAATGTAGCACCTGGTTCCTGGTATGTATTTTATTTAAGTATTATGCATTTTTGGCCTGGGACTCGGCGAGTTGAAGGCCCAACTCGTCGAGTAGAAGCGGATTGGATACAAGATTTAAATGACGTACTCGTCGAGTCGGCCTCCAGACTCGACGAGTAGACTCTGACTAGACAAAACCCTAATCTAAGGGTTTGCACCCTATTTAAGCATCTCATTCAGCCACCCTTCGTCCATATTGCTTCCAGAAACCCCCATAGCAAACCCTAACTGTGTGTGTGAAGATCTAAAGGCATTTGTGGTGATTTTTGGTGATTTTGATCACAAGGAAGAAGGAAGGGCCTAGAGGGATCAAGAGAAGACCAAGGGAGTTCAAGTTTGTGCATCATTTGCAGTTCCCAGAAGGTATAAAGTCGGTACCTTGCTTGTTCATTTGCTAGATCCCTTTTTGGGGAGATTTAGGGCTTTTATAAACCATTCTTGGTGACCAACCATGATTGCAAGCATGGTTGGGGGT